TTATTTATTTACTTAAGTTATTTAAAAATGTTTCTATTGACTTTTTTTTGGGGGGGGGTATATGCCCCTAGCGGGAGGGGAACCGAACCCGAAACTCTCTGGTCCACAGGCCAAAGCTTCGACCGCTGAGCCAAACTGGCCATGGTGTTTTTATTGACTTTTTTATTTATTTATTTATTTTTAATTTTATTTATCATTATTTTATTTTATTTTATTTATTTTTTATCCTCACCTGAGGACATTTTTCCATTTTTTGTTCAGGTAGAGTGGGAGGGAGAGAGAGGGAGAGAGAGAGAGAGAGAGAAACATTGATGTGAAAGGGACACATCGAGTGGCTGCCACCTGCACAACCAACCAGGGCCGGGGACAAACTGCAACTGAGGTACGCGCCCTTAGCGGGAACCGAACCCGGGTCTCTCAGGACCGCAGGCCGACACTCCAACCGCTGAGCCAAACCGGCCAGGGCTTTATTGACTTTTTTAGAGAGAAAGGAAGGCAGAGAGAGATAGAAGCACTGATGTGAGAGAGAAACACCAATCGGCTGCTTCCTGCACGCCCTCTACTGGGGACTGAGTCCACAACCTGGGCATGTGCCCTGACCAGGAATCTAACTGGAGACCTTTTGGTGCATGGGTTTATGCTCAACCACTGAGCCAGGCTTAATAAAAAAATATTTTTTTTAAATAATAAATAAACAAATGCCTAGGGAAATGCTGACTAGAATTAAACACAGGCTCTGAAGGTCAACTGGCTGCAGCTGTGTGTCTACACACTGGGGACTGATCCCGACCTGGCTCAGGGAAGGGTTCCATGAGGAAGTGATATTTGAGTTGAAGGAGGGATTTGGTCTTGTGATGAGTGGGAGAAAACGTATTTTGAGCAGAGGGAACAGATGCTGCAAGGTCTGGAGGCAGGCAGGAGCAGGAAGAATTCGAGGCACTCCAATCTGGCTGTGTGGACAGTGCACTTACAATATAGCGTAAGAGAGACCATGTTGCCGGATGAAGCAATAGCACAGTGAGCCTAGAGATGTGAAGAGATCAGAGAGTGGGAGCTGCTAATGCAGATGTGAGGAGACAGGCAAGGGGCTGTTGCAGTGTCTGGTTAGAGACAGAGCTGGGAACCGGGACAGCGCTCCCAATAATAGTGGTAGGAAGGAGAGGAAGGTGGTCAAGAACTTGCAGGTGAAAAAGGGCCAAGACTTGGGTGACCTGGCAGAGTCCATGTGAATGTTTTAGGGACCAGAGGAGTGGTGCATGGAGATGGGCAGGGCAAAAAATGGTGAAAATTTAAGCCAGACGGTTGCGCTCTGCTTGACCCTGACTCCCCCACCACCCTACCCCCCCATCCTTGTACCATGCATCCAAACCACCCCAATCCCTGTACCTTGGCCTCCTCCTCTCCTTTCTTCACCTACTTCTTTCCTCTCTGGTCTTTTCCCTATGCATAACTGGGCCCTGGGAAGAGGCTCCAGAACAGGGAGCTGAGTGGAGGGGACACACTGGGGTGATAATGCCACCTCCTGGCAGGCACAAGAATTGCAGCATCCCGCTTCAGCCTTGGGCTGTACACCTAGATGTTTCAGGTGGAGAAACTGTGAAGCGATGTCTTCCTCTGCTGGTGGTGATCCGGTCATTCCTGGAGGACTGTTCAGTTCCAGGTGTTCTATTTTTCAGAGTGATACTGATAAATCGTTCTCCACCCTACCCAGCAGAATAGATGATGGGCAAAACTACTTTAATTACCCCTGTTTAAAGCCCTCTCACAGCCCTCAGGATTGGGTCCAACTCCTTAACACAGCACATAAGAATTTAGCACCCACCTCCCCAAAAGCCCTGGTCAGTTTGGCTCAGTGGTTAGAGTGTCAGCCCACGGACTGGAGAGTGTAAGGTTCAGTTCTCACTATGGTCACGTACCTCGGTTGCAGTTTGTTCCTGGACCCGGTTGGGGTCGTGTAGGTGACAACCAGCCGATGTGTCTCTCACATTGATGTCTCTCTCTCGCTCTCGCTCTCGCTCTCGCTCTCGCTCTCGCTCTTCCTCCCTCTCTCCCTCCTGCTCTATCTGAAGATACATGCAAAAAATGTCCGTGAGGATTAAAAAATAATAATTTAACCCTAGCCTTAGGCACTCCTCATTTTTAATTTCAATCCTTCCCTTCACATTCCCCCGCTCCCCACAGAGTTTGACTCCCATCCTTTTGCATAGGTTGTTCTCTCTTCCTGAAACACTCTTCCACTCCCTGTTGGTTTTCCAAACTCTTACTCTTCTTTCAGGTCTCAAATTTCCCACCCACCAGGAGAAGAACTTCCAGCACCTCAGCCTTAACTAGGCAAAGAGAGGAGTGCTTCAGGCAGTGGGAATAGCATGTGCAAAGGCCTCAAATGCCTTCAAGGAGATGGGAGGAGACCATAGACCAGAGAGATTAAAAGAAATGTCAGGGCTGCAGCAACAGAGCCACATGGCTCATGGGCTCTTGTGAGGGGTTGAGTCCCAAATGAGCAAAAAAAATTTTTGCAGCAGCCCTAACGGATTTGGCTCAGGGGGATCAATGAGTTACGGATTTGATTCTGGTCTAGGGCACATACCTCAGTTGCGGTTCGTCCCCAGCTCTGGCTGGGTCATGCCAGAGGCAACCAGTCAATGTGTCTCTCTCGCATCAATGTTTCTCTCTCTCTCTCCCTCCTCTCCCCTCTCTCCCTCCTCTCCCCTCCCTCCCTCCCTCCCTCCCACTCTATCTGATGATAAATGGAAAAAAATATCCTCTGGTGAAGATAAAAAATTTTTTCTACAGCAAAGGACATTAGATGTGTTTGGAAAGGCCCATATGCGCTTGCAAAATTAGAAAGGCACTGAAGAGGCTGGGGTGGGCATGGGGAGAACAGGCAAGGGTTATATAGATGAGAAATGATGGGGGCATGGACCCCTGAGCCTGAGCTCTAACCTCCCTGAGGGGATCCGAATTTACACCCTCCCCACTTCTCATCCCCTGGTGTTAGGTCCCCAATCACTGCCTGCCCCTTGAAACCAGTATCTGTGTCTGGTGGAAGTTGCCATCTTATTTTATTTTTTTTTATTTGATTTTTTATTGTGGTAAAAGACACAATATAACATTTATCATTTTAACCATTTTTAAGTGTACATTTCAGTGGCATTGAGCAAGTTCACATGGTTATGCAACCATCACCACCCTCTGTCTCCAGAACTTTCCATCCTCCCCAAGTGAAATCCTGTTCCCAACACACAACTCCCCAGAGGCCATCTGAGCTGTATCCTAACCAGGCTGCAGAGATGAGAATGAGCGTGTGACACCGACGGTGAGATCCTCCCAAATACGTGCACATGTGTAAGTGACTGACGGGCCAGAAATTTCTGAAGGTGCTTTAACATACACAGAAAAACCAAGAACACTGGTCATGAGCTAAGGGTCGGGGCCAAGGGGATGATGTGGAATGGTGCTCCCACACAGCCTGCGGTGGCAGGGGCGGGGCTTCCTGGCAGGGGCAGGACCAGACCGCTATGGTTCTGGAGGGGCTGTGCAGTGAGGCTGGGCAGACCGAGTGGTCACCAGGGCCCTCTGTGCATGAGTCCTGCAGGCCACCATCCCCATTTCGCGGATGAGAATAAGGCACAAAGACACTCATGATGCTCAGGGTCACATGGCTGAACGTCGGTTGTGGGGGAGAGGAGGCTCTAAAGCAGGCGATCTCCACTGGGCAGGGGGCTGCAGGGGCACATCCCCTACAGGAGCTGAGTCGCGCAGAGCCGGGCGACGGGAGCCTGCCGCCTCCATTCCCAGCACAGCGGCTGTGAGCCCGCGAGCATCTCCTCTCCCCGAGGACTGGGGGAGAGACGTGATCACACACACACAAAAATGTCGTGAATCTAAGACTTAATTTTTCTTGTAAAAATTAAGAGTGTATCTCATTTTGAAAACAGAGGAGACAAAAAAAGCTCTTTTAGAATATGTAGTTCAAGGCCACAAATCTCAACACTTTCTCTCTCTCAGCCTTGGTCCTTTGGCGAGGACGGGTGTTCCCGCGTCTGTCACCGAGGTGACCTTATTCAAGTTAAATGTCCAGCCCCCTCCCGAGATGCTGGTGGCGGGATCGTCAGCTTTCTTTCCTGTGGTTCTAGAGAGTCCACATCACAGAGTCATTTACTAGTGTCCTCCAGCTCCTTGTCTTCTGTCCATCTTTCCGACAAGAAATTCCCTCCAAGGCTCACGCAGTGACTGTTTATGGCTTGGGCTCCTCAGCGCGCCAAGGCTGCGGGTCGGTGGCCAGCAGAGAAGGGGCCCAGGTGGGTGACAGTGAAATCACCAGAGCACAGGGGCTTTGTCCCACCCCAGTTTGGGGAGGGAAAGAACCTGAGAGCAATCCTAGAACCCACTGCATTTACTAGGACCTTGTCCTAGATAACTAGGACATCTTGGGAAGCCTTCAGACTCGGAGAAGGACACCAGTCTGCATAGTCAGACAATATGCTGAAAACCCAAGAGAAAATGAGAAATTGCCATTTAATATGAAAGGGGTACTGTGCCCAGTAAACGTAAGTTGTAGAATTACACAGAACAGTTTGGATACTAGCACTTGGTAAAATTCAGTTTAAGAGTACAGAGCATTTAGGTATAAAAATAAGTCTTTTCATGAAAAAGAATGCCTAAGGATACACCCACAAAACCAGTGAAAAGTATAAAAGCGAGGCTGTAGCTGGATATGGCTCCATAAGCCACAGGGTTCTGAAATCTCACAGGAAATTTGATACTGAATTTTCCAAGACTTTTAAATGACACAATTGATCCTCTTCTTAACCAAGATACATGGGAAGAAGGCTTAGTAAGTACTAGCGATTTGCAGGCTCTCTGGAAGCGACAGGATCCCCCTGGCTCGATCGCGGAGGCTGGTGGGAGCCCCACATCCGTCCGTATGAGGTTTACATCTGCCATCACATGGAGGTTCAAAACCCAAACTGGAATGTTCCTCTTCCAACTTGCATCTTCTAATGATCCTTGGTATGGTTAAGATGTCCAGACTCCCCTGCAATACATCTCTGGCAGGGCTGGGCAGAGCTCCTTCCACCATTCGGAGGGATCCCCACATTTGGTGGCCTCTGGCCCCTGTCTGGCCTTGGGGCAGGGTGGTGGCCTCCAGGTGGCACCTCCAGCTCCTCGCTGCCCCAGGACACCAGGGCGCTGGCCTTCATCTGGGGACAGCCCAGCTCCTGCACGGCCACTTCTAAGCTCCTGCACACCCGCTTCTTTTAAGGATGCCGCCACGTTTCAACCGCAGACCTTGGATCGGCTGGACGAGTCATTTTTATTTTTAAACCCTCACCCAAGGATAATTTTCCATTGCATTTTTAGATAGAGTAGAAGGGAGGGAAGGAGAGAGAGAGAAACATCGATGTAAAGAGACATATCAATTGATTGCCTTCCACATAACCCCAACTGGGCCAGGGATCAAACCTGCAACCAAGCCCTGGCCAGTTTGGCTCAGTGGTTGGAGCGTTGGTCTGCGGACCAGAGAGTCCCAGGTTCGGTTCCCTCTAGGGGAACGTGCCAAATAATAATAATAAATAAATAAATAAATAAATAAATAAACCAACCTGCAACCAAGGTACATGCCTTTGACTGGGATTCGAACACAAAACCCTTTGGTCCAAGGGCTGACACTCTAACCACTGAGACAAACCTGCCATGATTGCCATATCATTTTAGAGGAGGACAGAACACTTGGGTTCAGAGGTGTTAAGTCAGTAGTGAGTGACAGAGATGGGATTTTGAACTTTGGTCTGTCTGCCTCATCCACCATACTAGGTGGCCTAGCAGTTATTGGCAGGGCTCTGTCACTTGATGGCTGTGTGACTTTGGATGGATCATGTTACCTTTCTCTGCTTGTGTCCTCTTCTACAAAATGGGAGCAATCATAGTAACCTGCTCAATGGGGTTTTTGAAGAGTATACAGAATAAATGCCCATAAGGGCCCAGAACAGTACCAGGCACGCGGTAGGTATTCAATAAATGGTTGCTATTCACATGAATACTGTCCCAGAAACTTCACATGACTGCTGTCCCAAGAACTTTACTGGGAAAATGTGCTTCAGGCTTCTGAATCAGGGGGAAGACAAAGGGAGCTCCAGGGGGGCTGGGAAGGGAGAAGAAAGCAAAGAGAGCCTCTCAGGGTAGGTCCAGAGCTAAGTCACCCTAGTTCCAAGCACAGAACAGGTGTCAAGAGCACCAGCTCTGAAGGGCTTTGAATGCTACACGGAAGAGCCACCAAAAAACAAAAGTTCTGGCATCAGAGAAAGCACAACTACCCTCGACCCAGGGGTGGAATACTTTCTCCTCCACGTGCCAGCACTGGCCTTGAAGGCTCAAAGGAGCTGAACACACAGCCTCCCCTATGTGATTCACCAGGTAGTCACACAGCGGCGATAGTGCATCACAAAAGTTCTGTTTGTCCTTCAAGTCTTTCAGTCCAAACAGCCAAGTACCAATGTTTTCTAAGTGCCTCTAAGAACCCTAGGGAGAATCCTTGTGTCATCTCTATGAGATAGAGTCTATTCATATTTCCAAATGCCAGGTGGAAATGAGGACTCTGAAAAGTCTCAGGTGGAAATGAGGACTCTGAAAAGTCTAATACTATAAAATCAGCCAGCCAGAATTTGAAACCTGATTTGTGTATTTCCCAGTCTGGCTGCAGTAGCTACATATCTCCTAGGATAGCAGTTTGTAGTTCTCTCTCCTGCCTCCATCACTGGGCAGCGATGCCTTTGCTGAGCTGACAGATTACTCTGCTTGGGTGTGGAATATTAGACAGGACGAGGAAGACTTTCACTTTGGCTTTCTCTCTCTTAAGTTTAGTTCACTTATGCAGCTTTTGAGCTGGAAATGACACTATTGGACATTTCCCATCCCTGAAATAGAGAGAATTCTGACAGAGGGACAAGGCAAATAATTTTTTAAAAATTTATCTTTAATACCTGCCAGAATGGCAGGCATCAACAAATCCTCAAACAACAAATGCTGGCAAGGATGTGGAGAAAAGGGGACTCTAGTGCACTGCTGGTGGGAATGCAGACTGGTGCAGCCACTATGGAAAACAATATGTTACCTCAAAAAATTAAAAATTGAACTTCCATTTGAGCCAGTGATTCCACTTCTAGGAATATAGCCTAAGAAGCCTGAAACACCAATCAGAAAGAATATATGTACCCCCATGTTCATAGCAGCACTATTTACAATAGCTAAGATCTGTCAACAACCCAAGTGTCCATCAGTAGATGAGTGGATAAAAAAGCTGTGGTACATATACACAATGAAGTACTACGCAGCTGTAAGAAAGAAAGATCTCTTATCCTTTGAGATAACATGGAGGGACCTGGCGAGTATTACGCTAAGCGAAATTAGCCAGTCAGAGAAAGATAAGTACCACATGATCTCACTTATTTGTGGAACATAATGAACAAAATAAGCTGTCGACCAAAAGAGATCCAGAATCATAAAAATAGGGAACAGACTGACAAACCTCAGAGAAATAGGGGGTGAGAGGGGGGGAAGAGATGAACCAAAGAACTTATATGTATATATATACAACCAATCGACTGGAACATTAGGCTGGGGAAGGCAGGAAGTGGGTGGGAGTGGGAAGGAGGGGGTCAAAGGGGAAACAAGGGGGACATCTGTAATACTTTCAACAATAAAAATAATAAGATAAAATAAAATTTATCTTTATTGTTGAAAGTATTATAGACGTCCCTCCTTTTTTCCCCCATTGACCCCTCCTCCCTGTTCCCACCCCACCCCTGCCTTCACCATACTATTGTCTGTGTTCATTGGTTTTGCATATATGCATATAAGTTCTCTGGTTTATCTCTTCCTGCCCCACCCCCCTTCCTTCTGAGTTTTCTTAGTCTGTTTCCTACTTCCACAGCTCTGGATCTATTTAGTTCATCAATTTTTTTTTGTTCATTAGATTCCACAAATAAGTGAGATCATGTGATAATTGTCTTTCTCTGACTGGCTTAGTTTCACTCCATGCCATCTCAAAGGGTAAGAGATATTTCTTTTTACAGCTGCATAATATTCCATTATGTAAATGTACCATTTTTTTTATCCACTCATCTACTGATGGACACTTGGGCTCTTTCTTGATCTTAGCTATCGTAAATAGCACTGCTATGAACATGGGGGTGCATATATTCTTTCTGATTGGTGTTTCAGGCTTCTTAGGGTATATTGCTAGAAGTGGGATCAATGGGATCAAATTGCAGTTACATTTTTAATTTTTTGAGGAAACATCATATTGTTTTCCATAGTGGCTGCACCAGTCTGCATCCCCACCAGCAATGTGACAGAGTCCTCTTTTCTCCACATCCTCACCAGTACTTGCTGTTTGCTGATTTGCTGATGGCAGCCATTCTGGCAAGTGTGAGATGATACCGTATAGTTGTTTTAATTTGCATCTCTCTGATGATTAGTGATGTTGAGCATTTTTTCATATATCTCTTGGCCATTTATATGTCCTATTTGGAGTAGTGTCTATTGAGATCCTCTGCCCATTTAAAAATATATTTTTTCTTTTTTTATCCTCACCCAAGGATATTTTTTCATTTATCTTCAGATAGAGTGGGAGGAAGCGGGGGAGAAAGAGAGAGAAACATCGACGTGAGAGAGTTACATTGACTGGCTGCCTCCCACACAACCTCAACCAGGGCCAGGACCAACTGCAACCAAGGTTCATGTCCTTGACTGCAATCAAACCCCCGACTCATTGGTCCACAGGCCAATGCTCTAACCACTGAGCAACTGGCCAGGGCCTCTGCCCATTTTTTAATTGGTTTGTCTATCTTCCTTTTGTTGAGCTATATAAGTTCTTTATTTTTTTATCCTCACCCGAGGACATTTTTTGCATTTATCTTTAGATAGAATGGGAGAAAGAGAGGGGGGGAAACATCGATGTGAGAGCGACACATCAAGTGGTCACCACCCACACAACCCCAACCGGGACTGGGGACAAACTGCAACCAAGTTATGTGCCCTTAGTGGGAACTGAACCCCGGATTCTCTGGTCCGCAGGCCAACGCTCTAACCGCTGAGCCAAACCGGCCAGGGCTATAAGTTCTTTATATATTTTGAAAATTAACCCCTTATCTGATGTGTCATTGGCAAATATGTTCTCCCATATAGTGGGTTCCCTTTTCATCTTGATGCTGGTTTCTTTTTTTTTTTCAGACGCATATGAACTATTTAATTATGATTAAAGACCATTTTCAGTAACACACATCTGTTGCTTCTTTCTATGCCTACCATCATGCTTTACATCACAGGAGGTTTCAAGCAGATAACAGACCACATGCAATGCCACCACAGGAGCCCCAGGTTTCTGAACAGATTTTATTACATGTGATGGGGTTCAGTCCTTCTTGGCTGCTGCCTTCCTCATGGCTGCAAGGACATTGCTCAGCTCCTCTCTCTTCCTCTTGGCACGGATGTGTGTCCCCACCCTTTTCTTGATGAATTTCAGGGCCCGCTTGTCCTTAGAGACCTTGAGCAGCTCCATGGCACTCCGCTCATAGGGGGCAAAGCCACACACCTCTCAGATCATGTCCCGCACGAACTTGGTGTGCTTCATGAGGCGCCCGCGGCGGCGGCTGTGCCTTGGCTTGCTCACGTTCTTCGTCACCTTGTGGCCCTTGTTGAGGCCCACGGCCATCGGGTAGCGCAGAGCCATGGCTGTTGTTCCTCAATGGCTGCGGCTGCGGAAGGATGCTGGTTTCTTTTGCTGTGCAGAAGCCTTTCAGTTTGATGTAGTCCCATGTGTTTATTTTTTCCTTTGTTTGTCTTGCCCTAGGAGATGTACCGGTGATATGTGATATGTCTGAAATTTTGCTGCCTGTGTTTTATTCTAGGATTTTTATGGTTTCATAACTTACATTTAAGCCTTTCATCTATTTTGAGTTTATTCTTGTGTATGGTATAATTTGGTGATCTAATTTCTTTCTTTCTTTTTTGCCTGTATCTGTCCAATTTTCCCAACACCATTTATTGAAGAGACTATGCTCTTGCCTCCTTTGTCAAATATTAATTGAGCATAATGGATTGGGTCTATTTTGGGCTCTCTCTTCTGTTCCATTGATCTATATGCCTATTCTTGTGCCAGTACCAGGCTCTTTTGATTACAAATGGCTTGCAGTATAATCTGATATTCATTATTGTGATACCTATTGTTCTTCTTTTTCAAGATTGCTGTGGCTATTTGGGGAATTATTTTTTTTCTTCATTGACTTTAGAGAGAGGAAGGGAGAGGGGGAGAAAGATAGAAACATTGATGAGAAAGAACATCAATTGGCTGCCTCCTGCATGCCCCCCACTGGGGATTGGGCCCACAACCTGAGCATGTGTCCTGAATGGGAATCGAACTGGCGGCCTCTTGGTGCATGGGTCAATGCTCAACCAGTGAGCCACGCCAGCAGGGAGATTTAGGGTATTTTTTAGTTCCATATAAAAGTATAGAGTATAGCCCTGGCCGGTTTGGCTCAGCGGTTGGAGCGTCGGCCTGTGGTACAGAGAGACCCGGGTTTGGTTTCCGCTAAGGGCACGTACCTCGGTTGCAGTTTGTCCCCGGCCCTGGTTGGTTGTGCGGGTGGCAGCCACTCGATGTGTCCCTTCACATGGATGTTTCTCTCTCTCTCTCTTTGTCTCTCTCCCTCCCGCTCTATCTGAACAAAAGATGGAAAACTGTCCTCGGGTGAGGATAAAAAAAAAACAAAAACAAATACATAAAAGTATAGAGTATAGAGTATTTTATCTAGATCTGTGAAATATGCCTTTGGTATTTTCATAGAGATTGCATTGAATCTATAGATTGCTTTGGGTACTATGGACATTTTAATGATTCTGATTATTCCAATCCATGAACTTAGTATATGCTTTCATATTTTTATATCTTCCTCTATTTCTTTTTTCAATGTCCTGTAGTTTTCAGAGAATAGGTATTTTACCTCCTTGGTTAAGTTTATTCCTAGGTATCTTAATTTTTGTTGTTGCAATGCAATGGGATTACTTTTTTATTTTAGAAGAATAGAAAATTTAACTTGAGTAGGGAAAAATGAATTTTTTTTTCTTTATTGATTTTTTAAAGAGAAAGGGAGAGGAAGAGAGCGATAGAAACGTCAATGAGAGAGAACATCGACCGGCCGCCTCCTGCATGCCCCCCACTGGTGATTGGGCCCACACCCTGGGCAAGTGCCCTGACCAGGAACTGAACCAGCAACCTCTTGGTGTATGGGTTGACGCTCAACCATTGAGCCACTCCGGCCAAGCAAGAATGAATTATTTATTTATTTATTTTTCATTTATCTTCAGATAGAGAAGCAAGGGGAGAGGAAGATAGAGAGAGAGAGAGAAATATCGATGTGAGAGAGACACACTGAGTGGTTGCCACCCACACAACCCCAAGCAGGGCCGGGACAAACTACAACTGAGGTACATGCCCTTAGCAGGAACCGAACCTGGGACCCTCTGGTACACAGGCTGACGCTCTAACCTCTGAGCCAAACTGGTCAGCTCAAGAATGAATTTTATAAAAATTTATCTTTATTGTTGAATTATTACAGATGTCCCTCTTTTTTCCCCTTAACCCCCACCTCCCCAATCCCACCCCCTCTTGTTTTCCCCACACTATTGTTTGTGTCCATTGGTTATGCATATATGCAATTAAGTTCTTTGGTTTCTCTCTTCCTGCCCCACCTCTCCCCTTCCCTTTGAGGTTTGTCAGTCTAACAACCAATTTGTACTTCCTAATCCCTTCATCTTTTTCACACAACTTCCCTGTTATGTGACAAGCAACAAAAAGTTCTCTGTATCTATGAGTCTGTTTATGTTCTACTTGCTCATTTTGTTTGTAGATTCAGTTGTTGATAGATATGTATTTATTGCCATTTTATTATTCAGATTTTTTTTTCTTCTTCAAGAAGATCCAGCCCTTCCGGTTTGGCTCAGCGCTTAGAGCATCGGCCTGCGGTCCAGAGAGACCCGGGTTCGGTTCCCGCTAAGGGCACGTACCTTGGTTGCAATTTGTCCCCGGCCCTGGTTGGGTCGTGCGGGTGGCAGCCACTCGATGTGTCCCTTTCATATGGATGTTTCTCTCTCTCTCCCCCCCCCTCCCACTCTATCTGAACAAAATATGGGGAAAAAAAAAAAAAAGAAGATCCATTAACATTTCATGTAATACTGGTTTGGTGGTGATGAACTTCTTTAGCTTTTTCTTTTTCGGTATGTGTCCCTAGTGGGAACTGAACCTGGGACTCTCCGGTCCACAGGCTGATGTTCCGACTGCTGAGCCAAACCGGCCAGGGCTTTTTTAGCTATTTCTTGTCTGGGAAACTCTTTATGTAGCCATCGATTCTAAACTTTTTTTTTTTCCCTTTATTGATTTTAGAGAGAGAGGAAGGGAGAGGGGGAGAGATATAGAAACATCAATGAGGGAGAATATTGATTGGCTGCATGACCCCCACTGGGGATCTGGCCTACAACCCGGGCATGTGCCCTGACAGGGATTTGAACTGGTGACATTTTGGTGCATGGGTTGATGTTCAACAGCTGAGCCACACTGACTGGGCTGGCCATTGATTCTAAATGATAGCTTTGCAGGATAGAGTAATTTTGATTGTAGGTCTCTGCTTTTCATCACTTTAAATATTTCTAGCCGCCCTGGCAGGTTTGGCTCAGCGGTTAGAGCGTCGACCTGCAGTCCTGAGAGACCCGGGTTCGGTTCCCGCTAAGGGCGCGTACCTCGGTTGCAGTTTGTCCCCGGCCCTGGTCGGTCGTGCGGGTGGCAACCACTTGATGTGTCCCTTTCACATCGATGTTTCTCTCTCTCTCTCTGTTCCTCTCTCTCCCTCCCACTCTATCTGAACAAAAAATGGAAAAATGTCCTCCGGTGAGGATAAAAAATAAAAAATATATAAATAAATAAATAAATAAATAAATATTTCTAGCCACTCCCTCCTGGCCTGCAAAGTTTCTTTTGAGAAATCAAATGACAGCCTTATGGGAGCTCCACTGTAGGTAACTAACCACTTTTCTCTTGCTGCTTTTAAGATTCTCTCTGTCCTGAACCTTTGACTTTTTTTTTTTTTTTGGTGGTACATGCCTCTAGCGGGAACTAAACCCAGGACTCTCTGGTCCAGAGGCCGATGCTCAACCGCTGAGCCAAACTGGCCAGGGCAACCTTTGACATTTTGATGATGATGTGTCTTGGTGTGGACCTCTTTGGGCTAATCTTGTTTGGGACGCTCTGTACTTCCTGGACATGTATGTCTGTTTCCTTCTGTTTCCTTCATCAAGTTAGAGAAGTCTTCTGTTATTATTTTTTCAAATAGGTTTTCAATTTCTTGTTCTCTCTTCTCCTGGCACTCCATGATGTGAATGTTGGTACATTCGAAGTTGTCCCACAGGCTCCTATACTATCCTCATTTTTTTGGTTTCTTTTTTCTTTTTGCTGTTCTGATTGGGTGTTTTTTTCTTCCTTATATTCCAAATTGATGGTTTGCTTCTTAGCTTCACCTACTCTGCTATTGATTCCCTATAAGTTATTTTTTATTTCAGTTAGTACATCCTTCATTTCTGACTGGTCCTTTATTGTGCTCTTGAGGCTCTCATTAAGTTCATTGAGTGTCCTTATAGGCAGTGTTTTGAACTCTGCATCTCTTAGATTGCTTATCTCCATTTTGTTTAGTTCTTTTTCTGAAATTTTGTTCTGTTCTTTTATTTGGGATATGTTTCTTTGTCTCCTCATTTTGGCTGCTCCCGTGATTGTTTTTATGTATTAGGTAGAATTGCTATGTCTCCTAGGCTTTGTAGGGTGGCCTGTTCTAGTAGGTGTCCTGTAGGGTATAGTGGCACAGCCACTCTGATCACCTAGTTGGGCCCTCAAGATGCACCACTCATGTGGACTTTACACTCTTCTGTTGTAATTGAGTCTTGATTGCTGTTGACACATCAATGGAAGGGATTTACTCAGGCTGATCAGCTACAAGGACTGGCTGTGCCAACTAACCACCGACCTCTGACTGCTTTGGATGATCAGCTGTGCAGGGGCCCACCACATAGAGCAAGACTTACTTCAGCAGTGCTCTGGTACCCCCTGAGTCTATTTCTTGAGTGTGTCATTTATGAAGGTCGTTGGGTGGTGGTGTATCCATGTGATCTGAAGCTGTTCACTGGGTGTGCTGGCTCTGGGGCAAGGTCAGCCACTGCCTGTGTTCTATCCAGAGCCACCAGGCATAAGGTACAAAGCAATCTGCCGATGG